TGGGTGCTGCCTGTGATGCCTGTGTCTCTGTACATGACACGCAGCCCCGTGGCCGGTGGGTGGGGACTGCACTGCTGTCCTGGAGGAAAAGCAGGCGGGATGCGGGTGCTCAGAGGACCTCCCGGCGTTCCTTCCTGCTGGGTCAGCATGTCCTGGCCCCAGACCCACACTTGTCCTCCGGTGACTCAGAGACTAGGGTCAAGTCCTTTCCTCTTTTACTCTTCCACTTGTGGCTTCCAGTTTATGAAATGAGAAAATGGGCCCCCAGTGAGTTCAGCCCAGGCTGGGCGATTGCAGGAGGGTTGTTGGTCTGCAGAGCTGAGCTCAGAACACTTTCCTCCTGAAATGATCCCACTGAGTCTCATGCCAAGAGGTAACACATGAAACTGCTCGTGAAACATAAATATCTTTCTTTTTGCTTTTTTTTAAAAAATCCTCTCCCGAGGATATTTTTCCATTAATTTTTAGATAGAGTAGAAGGGAGGGAGGGAGGGAGGGATAGAGAGAGAAACATCGATGTGAGAGAGACACGTTGATTGGTTGCCTCCTGCACACACCCTGGCCAAGGCCAGGGATCGGACCTGTGACCCTTGGGTGAACCGGCTGATGCTCTAACCCAGTGGTTCTCAACCTTCTGGCCCTTTAAATACAGTTCCTCATGTTGTGACCCAACCATAAAATTATTTTCGTTGCTACTTCACAACTGTAATGTTGCTTCTGTTATGAATCATAATGTAAATATCTGATATGCAGGATGGTCTTAGGCGACCCCTGTGAAAGGGTCGTTTGACCGCCAAAGGGGTCGCGACCCACAGGTTGAGAACCGCTGCAGTCTAACCACTAAGAACACTAGCAAGGGCTCTCTTTGCTTCTTACAGTATCTGTCAGTCATCCCGATGCCTAACAATAACCTTTCCGGGGGGGCGGCCCCTGACCTGGAGGAGGGGCTCTTTGCTGGTTCCTGGATGGACCTGCAGGGGCCAGGGAAAGCCACTGCTTGGCAGCTTTCTGTTGCCCACAGGCTGGGTTCTGCTGATACTGCAAGCATAATTAGTAACTGAGCTCTGTTATTGGAAGTCAGGTTGAGTTGCATTTGACTCTGCTGACTACCCATGGTTTCCTTTAAATAAGGCTTATCAGCTGTAGTAACACTTGTGAAATAGCATTCTTGTGCAGGGTGTTGAATTTATAGGCAGTTAGAAATGGCACAGAACAGGGAAGTCATGGAAGGGTGGCCAAAGGATCTCATAAACTTGGAACTGGGAGAGCGAAGCCAGCTGCCAGGGTGGTGAACGGGAGGAGACAGGCTGATCCCTGTCCTGGACCCCTCTGCAGTCCTTCCCCCCCTCCACCATGGGGTCCCAGCAGCACTGAGGTCTGCCCGCCTGCTCTTTGGTGTGGATGAGGCAGGGAGACCAACTGCAGGCTTTTTTTTTTTTGCCAACATGGTGATATATTCCATCGCATGGAAAAATTAGATGGTCTCTAGACTCTAGAGCAGTGGTTCTCAACCTTCCTAATGCTGCGACCCTTTAATACAGTTCCTCATGTGGTGACCCCCAACCGTAAAATCATTTTCGTTGCTACTTCATAATTGTAATTTTGCTACTGTTATGAATCATAATGTAAATATCTGATATGCAGGATGTATTTTCATTGTTACAAATTGAACATAATTAAAGCATAGAGATTAATCACAAAAACAATATGTAATTATATATGTGTTTTCCGATGGTCTTAGGCGACCCCTGTGAAAGGGTTGTTCCACCCCCAAAGGGGTCGCGACCCACAGGTTGAGAACCGCTGGTCTAGAAGGTCCCATTTAAAAGGCAGCAGGGAAATAAAGCACAATGCCGTTTGAACATATATAGTGGGGTTATTTTTATTTAAAGGCAGGTCTGGCTGTTAAAGGGGATTTGGAGTGACAGGTTCTGTCTGAGCCTCTGTTTCTGTGCATCGGAAGAGCCCATGTATCCGGGGCAGTAGGGAGAGGCGGTTCTCAGGATTTTCAGTCTAGAGTCTCTAGACACGGGTCTAATGTGGAATTATGACGCTGGGGGAGAAAAATCAGTGCTTCTTTGCAAGGTGGGAGACACTACAAAATAGTGGCCAGACACACTGGGCTGCGGCTGGAAGAGGTTCCCTCCTTCAGTGTCTTCTAAGATTCAGTGTCATCTAAGGTGGATGGAATGGAATCTTCTACTCTGCTGGCTGCATCCTCCTACGGCTAAGTGCAAAACCTGGGCTGGAGTTGGGACAACCATGCACTAATTGGAAGACACTAGCAGCGGTTCATTATTTGGGCTCTGAGGGATACTGTTTTATTTTTTTACCTTGGGCTCTGAATGCCTCAGATAACAATATACGTATTATATTGGCCTTTAAGTCTCTACAGCTGCAGTTGTAACATGGCTTTGGCCGATCTTAGTGGTGCTCTTCTGTTAGAAAGAGAGCCGGCTACTGTGTCCTCACCTAATCAGTGTCCTCCTCTCTTGTTTTTTCATGTTAAATCACTTGGCCTTGAAAACTGCATCATCTTTCATGAGTTTGTGAATTCTTTAGGGACAGAGGCCCCGCCTTCTTACTGCTTAGCGTTGCAATAATGAATAAAGGAACAAACAGAAAAATGAGTAAATGAAAACTTACTGAGATGTTCAAATCTCATTTGTTCCATTAATGTCAAGTTCAATAACAGTCACACATTTGCTCCTCTCTTCATTGCCAAGAAAGCAGAATGCTGACACTTCCTGAGATAACGGAAATGACATTGTAGCATGGGAATGGGTAGAGGCAGTGTGATCCCTAGACCCTGGGTTCAGCTCTCAGCCAATAGCTGTGTAGCCTGCGGAAAAGTGCCCACCCTCTCTGAGCCTCCGCATCCCCCTAACTTGATGGGCTCTAGAAACCTCATCTGCCTGGCTCCTACTCCTGAAGTTGGTGGTTCTTGGGTCTAAACAATGAGGGCTTTTTATTGAAGCTTAAAAGGTAAGACCCATCTGTCCCGGCGCCCTCACTTTGCCTTGAGGACATGTTAGAGGCATTGCTCCTGAACCTTTGGGTGCCGGAGGCTGGTGGACAGAGCTTAAGACCCTGTGGGTAGGAATCATGTTGGTGAGGTACAGCCACTGAGGGTGGTCAGATGTGCTTTAGAGTGTTGGGGTGTGTGTGTGTTTTTTAACAGACTTTATTTTTAAGAGCATTTTTGGGTTTGCGGCAATACTGCCCCAAAGGCACACAGATTTCCCATGTACCCCGGGCCTCCACACATACACGGACTCCCCCATTATCAACATCCTCCTCCAGATGCTGCATTTGTTACAATGGATGAGCCTACATGGACTCATCACAATCACCCAGAGCCCATAGGGTACATTAGGGTTCACTCTTTTTTTAAAAAAATATATTTTTATTTCAGAGAGGAAGGTAGAGGGAAAGAGAGATAGAAACATCAATCATGAGAATCATTGATTGTCTGCCGCCTGCATGCCCCCTACTGGGGATTGAGCCTGCAACCCAGACATGTGCCTGTGACCAGAATCAAACCCACGACCCTTCAGTCCGCAGGCCGACACTCTATCCACTGAGCCACACCAGCCAGGGCTGGGGCTCACTCTTGGTGGTACACATCCTGTGGGTTTGGACAAATGCACAGTGGCACGTACCCATCATTAAGGAGTCGTACAGAGTATTCTCCCTGCCCTTTTAAGTAAATAAATTGAATCAACTAGCAGTCTTTCTGATTTATCTCATTCAATCTGAATATTTCATTTCACTCTGAGGTGACTGAAATTCAGGTTTCCTAGGTCATACCCTCCTTCATAAGAGACCTCACGACTCATCTCTCTGTTCTTTCAGTGCCATGAGCATGACAGGTGCCCCATACTCGCTGCCTGACGAGAGAAGGGGCAAGCAGCCCCTGCAGACGGTCCTGGAACCTGGAGGACCGCCTGGCCAGGAGCACTGTCCCTAGAAGCAGCCCCTGCACCACCTTTAGCATGTCTCGGCCCAGAGAAGGCTGTGGAGCCTCTGGTCTGATTGGTGGAAATTGTATTTATGAGATTTTCCTTCTGAAACTTGAACAAGCAACCTGAAATCTCTCTGTTCAAGACATCGTGAAGAACCAAGACTCTGGTCAGCTATGTGTGAACCCCGTGCTGCGCTGCATCGAGTAGTGTCAGGAACCACGATTATAGAGCCAAGAGGTGGCGAGTGGGGTGTTTGATGGAAGAGAAACAAAGTGTTCATATTAATGGTAAATGGGTGCTTAATTTAATGGTAAACAGAGTGCCCAGCACACAGTTCCTTAGCGAAGTTAGTCCTCACAAGAGTGCTCACATTCAGGTACATTTCCTTCGTTGCCATTTGACAGGTGTAAAAACGGAGGTGGCCAGGAAGTGGACAAGCCTGGCCAGGACAGGCAAGGCTTCTTCCTGCTCTTAACCACTGTCTTCTCCTGCCTGTTGTGCAGGTAGCAAGTACCTGCCTGTCCAGAGCCTTTCCGCACACACTGGGAAGTACTAGGAGTGAAGCACAGCCATCTCAGAGCTGCCATCGTCACCCCTCTTTGTTCTCTCCTTCCTGGGAGTGCACGTGTTCCTGTGCAAAGTTAGAGGTACCTAAAATACCTTTTTTAACAAATGCCATCAACTAGCAGTCTTTCTGATTTGAGTCACGATCTTGTCAAACACCGTGTTTAGGGGAGATGCTTCATAAACCAGCAGCAGATGAGAGAGGATCCATTTTTGCAGCCAAGTTCAGAGTTTTGGTGTCAGGTTAATGTTCAGGCAGGGCATCAGGTGGACCCCCTGGAGGCTCCGGTCCGCGCGGCCGCGATCCACCCCGGTGCTTCGGCCTGCCCGCCGAGCCGCGCTCCCGCCGCCACCGCCGCGCTCCCGGGACCTGGCGGCCGGCTGAGCGCGCGGCCCACGGTCACTGCACGTCGGCGCCCGCCCGCCCGCCCCGCCCGGGAGCGCGTTTCCATTTTAAACCGCCGCCCTCCCGCCCCTAGGCCGCGGCGGCGCAGCTGCCTGCGCGTCTCGGGCCCTGGGAGCGGCGCAGGCTCCGGAGTCGCCGAACTGTGCAAAAAAGGCCCGAAGATGCGAGCCGGCCGCACGCCTTAGACAATGAAGCCGCGGGCGCCGCCGCCCGCCCCGGGCCCTGCGCGCCGCGGCCGCACCTGCCGGCCAGACCGTCCCGGCTTCTGACTGCCCGCCCTCCCGCCGCTCCGCCCACCCGCCCCGCGGGCCCATGGCTGGGCGCCTGGGACCCGGACCCCCGCACTCGTGCCGCGCGGCGCACGGGCCGGCGGGCGCCAGGGGCGCCATCCCTGCAGCTTAAGCGCGGCCCTCGCGGCGAGCAGGGGGCGTGGGCCCTCTCCCCGCGCGCCCGCTCGCTCCGCCTCGCCCGGCGACTGCCCGATCGCGCGTCCCGGCCCGCGGCGCTGGATGCAGAGGAGCCCCGGCGGGCGGCGCGGCGGCTGCGGCCCCGGGCGACATGTACCTGCTGGACGTCGGCGGCGAGCCCGCGTCTCCGCCCGCGGACGCGATGCCGCGCGGGACGCCCCCCAGGAAGACCGTTTACCGCATCTCCGTGACCATGGTCAGGAAGGAGCAGCTGGCCGCCCCAGGCCCGGGTGGTCCCGACCCGCGTCCCACTCGGAAGCTCCGGCCCGGACGCTCCCCGGACGCGCCCGGGCGGCTGGTGGAGGAGGAGGAGGCAGAGGATGCTGCGGCGGCCACTGAGGACCCAGAGGGCTGCCGGCCGCGCGCCTGGGACGTCCGCACCTACCGCACCCGCAGCACCGGGCAGCTGGAGCTGGGGCGGCTTCGGCCGTGCACACGCGGCACGGAGCCCACGGACCTGGCCGGCAGTCCCCCGGCCGTGGAGCAGGAACCCGGGTCGCCTACGCCCGGCAGCCCCGACGTGGAGGGGATCCGGGCCGCGCCCCTGCGGCGGAGCCTCAGCTTCAGGCACTGGAGCGGGCCCGAGGCCCCGCGGGAACGGGCCCCGGGCCGCGGGAGGCGCCACAGCAGCTCTATGAGCCTGGCCTGGGCGCCGGGCGGCGAGACCGTGGCCGACCCCGGGGTCGTCCCCGAGCCCGCGGCCGCCGCGCAGCCCGCCTCGGAGAAACGCAACACTCTGGACGTGGGCGAGGTGCTCAGCAAAAACGATGCGCTCTCGGACTTGGAGCGCTGGGAGCGCAGCAAGAGCAAGAACCGCACGCTGGACAACAGCGACCTGCAGCGGCTGGAGCGCGCGCGGGCCGCGGCCGCCGGCCCCAGCGCGGTCTCGGAGCACAGGCTGCTGCGCTTCTTCAGCGGCATCTTCGCGCGCAGGGACGGCGCACCCAGCGGCGGGCCCTCCCCGCGGAGCGGCTCCTTGCGACCCCGTGGCTACTTTAGCCTGCGACGCGCCCCGGCCGACGCGCACTCATCCAGCGCCGAGAGCATCGAGGGGTCCCCGCGCAGAGGTGGGCAGTGCGGCCGGGGTGGGAGGGCAGTGGTGGGAACCTTCGGGCCTCGCGGCGGGCCTGCTCAGCAGAGTGCGCTGGGACTGGAGGGCAGCTAAGGGACCTGCCCTCCCAGGTCACCCGCCACACGTGGTTGTGCAGGACGCGAACCCGGGTACTGCAGTGTCCCCCCACTAATAATTCTGCGGCGTCTGGATATTCTTGACTGGCCTTGCTTCCAGCTGCGTGTGGTGGCGCCATTCAGGGCTTGTGATCTAAGCCCCCGTGAGCCTGTTTCAGGAGAAATCACCTTGCCAAGTGGCGCCTTTCTCCCGCGGTGCTGGCTCAGGCCTCTCCATCCGCAGGCCCAGGGAGCTGGCAGCTTGCTGCCACCTGGGATACCTGTGGGCGGCTCTAGGAGGCCAGGCCTTGGGCCGAGGCTGCCGCACAGGTGGCACGCCTGGCGGGGAGAAGCAGCTTTCCTCTGTTGACATCTTACTCCACCACCAAGCCTGGTGTCCTCGTCAGGGCTACCTGGAGGTGGTACTGTGGGTCCTGTGCTGTGGCCTCGGCTGTTGGCCGGCTCTCACCTGTTGTGCTTGGTCAGGGATGTAGGCCCCTCTCCCTGGCCTCCCCACCAGTAGGTGTGTTAGGAGGAAAGCGCCTGTGCCACAGGATTCTTCTTCCTGGGCGTGATCTCTGGTATGCAGGCAGGGAAATCACAGCCTGGAGCCTGTCCTCTGCTCTCTGAGGCCCTCTGACTAGGACCTGCAGGGAAGGTTCCCAGGAGGTGTGATAATATTCTGGTGCAAGAATCGGGTAGCCGCTGATAGTGTTGGGGGGTCAAAACCTTTCAGAACCTGCAAAACACGGACCCCTTCTCTCCACATGCCTGGGCATCACTCTGCAGGAGGAGGCAGGGTGGGCCAGGGAGCCTCTCCCAAGGGTTGGGGTGGGGGATGGTCGGGGTGGGGGATGGTGGGGTGGGGGATGGTCGGGTGGGGGAGGTCTCAAGATCCGGTCCCCATGCACTTCCCCACTGAAAGGTCAGTAGGCCATCAGTACAGCGCTGCTGCTGCTGCTGCTGCTGCTGCTCCTCCTACAGGTAAGGCTGGTAAAACGCTGCAGTGTGGCAGCCTTTGGTTAGAGACTTTCCGCTGCCAACTCACCTTCCTCCTGTAGGTCACCAGTTACCTGAATACCTGGGGGTGTAGTAAAACCAGACAATGCAAAGAAATTGCTGCTCTTGACGTTAGTATTTTTTAAAAAAATATATTTTATTGCTTTTTTTAACAGAGAGGAAGGGAGAGGGATAGAGTTAGAAACATCCATGAGGGAGAAACATCGATCAGCTGCCTCCTGCACACCTCCTACTGGGGATGTGCCCACAACCAAGGTACATGCCCTTGACAGGACTCGAACTGGGACCTTTCAGTCCGCAGGTCGACGCTCTATCCACTGAGCCAAACCAGTTAGGGCGACATTAGTATTTTTAAGTGAAGACAAATAATGTCACCTTCTGATATGCTTCTGATGATCCTCCAAATGTGAGAATATTTGAAACCAAGAAGTTGAATGTGCAATTGTATTAAAATCTGATATTGTTCTTAGTGAGGATACAGTATAATGTACCTGTTGCCAGCCTGGCATTAGTTTAACTTGCTGGATTTTGTTTTTAAGCAGTATTTATTATTTTCCCAACAATTTGAAGCATGGCGCATGAATCGTTTACCCATATGTGGTTGTGTAATCCACACCATCCATGTCCAGATGTACCAGGAGTCTTGCCTTGAAGAGTTATTTGTCTGTAGGTGAAACTTGGTCAATGATGGCCTTAAATGATCAGGGTCAATGGTGTGGCCCGTACTTTTCACCCCAAAGTCTTTCTTCAATTACAATTGACATTCAGTATTATTTTATACTAGAGGCCTGATGCACAAAATTCGTGCAAGGGACTCGGCCCTTACAGCCCTGGCTGCCGCCACCCTCTGAGGGGCAATCAATCTTGCGCCACCTCCCCCACCCCCCACCCCACTGGTCGTTCTGCTGTCAGGTCTAATTAGCATATTAGCTCTTTATTATATAGGAGCATTAGTTTCAGGTGTGCAACATAGTGGTCAGCCATCCATATAATTTACAAAGCGATCCCCTCACTATGTGCTGCACTTTATATCCCTGGAACTAATTTGCACATCTTGTGTTTTAACCTGCCTTGGGAAACTTGTGTTAGGAGGCACCATATTGGACTCCCAACCATTATCCCATCCCTTCCCACATGCGCTGAAAATATTTAAAGATCCTATGAGTTACTTTGGTTTGTATAAAGTTGCTACTTCCCTTCACGTTCAGTGGAAGTTGAGCCACGCAGCCCAGTCCCCCCTCTAATAGTAGGCTTGCATCTTTGCTCTCATGGGCTTTGTAGAAAACAGTAATTACCACTTGGGTTCCAGACAAGTATGCATCATAGAGGGAGAGGGCGAGGGAGAAGCACAAAGGATGTAGAATAAGGGTGGCCCTTGTGGTACCTATTGATCCCAGGTAAAAGCACTGGCATTTGGGTGTTCCCTTTGGTTCAAATGGGTAGATAGGTTTGAAATATAAAGGTGTGAAGTTTGTTGGAATTTTTCCCTCTAGGGCAGTAGAAGATAACTAGTAATAATTGGAAAGGTGCTTGGTTTGTTTGGCCCATCCTTCTCCAGGTGGAGTTACTTTGGTCTGAGGGTAGGGTTGTGGGTTGTGTAGAAAAACCGAATGTTAATGAACTAAGTCACAGCACACACAGTCAGAACTGCAGGACCTTATTTTATTCTGAAGTTCTAGGCAATGACAGAAAGGCCACCTTTTTCACCTGCCTTTGGCTAATATGCCTGAAATGTCATGGCTCTTAAGATCTTTATAAGACCAGTGTCCTTACAAGTAAAAGGTACACCCCCCCACAGCTGTTAGGTCTCATTTTAGTGTATACTTGCCCACATTTTATATGTTGGCTTCCTATGACACAGTTTTTCATAATTTAGGTGCTAATTAAGTGAGGTTATGACTTCAGGGTAAAAATCTCTAAGGCGCCAGTCAGACACAGTGATACAGGCCCGTTTCTCTGGGAATGTCAGGAGGCTGAAGGTGCCCAAGGCCTTGCCCGCAGCTGGGGCCAGGCGGGCTTGCAGGACTCGGAAGATGTGGATATTAGCGAGGTACCGTGGTGCAGGCTCCAGAACTCGGCCCGTGTGGTCGGGCAGCACTCAGCGATCAGACACTGGTGATTTGTAGCAAAGTCTGAGATACTCACATTCAGTACGATAAACGTTTTGCCACCAAGAGTCTGATAGACGGTTTTTTTGTTGTTTTTTTGGCCTTTTTGGATTTCAGAATAACAGATCAGCTATTGTGGACCCATGATGTGATATATACCGTGTTTCACTAGTTTTTTTAAATCTTGGCCACAGTATTAAAATTTGAAGTTTTTTCAAGTCTAAAGGAAATTAGAGAAGATTGTCATCAGGCAGGCGTTCCTTTTGTTAGACTCTTTCAGCTAGGGAAGCAAGATGGTTGGAGTCTTGTTTTAAGTCACACACAGGCTTCCACATCACATACCTGTGATTTTCCTATGTTCTTAACTGGGCATCGGGGTGGAAGGTTTGAAGCTCCTACCTTCTCAGAATGATTCTCTTGTCCTTTGTAATCCCTGTTGGTTCACGTCTGTTTAGGCTCTTTCTCTCCCTAACACCCCCTCCCCCCGCCCCCTCCTCTCCCCCGCCCATGTATGACAGTCACTGCCCAGAGACCCAAGGCAGCTGGTCCTCTGAGGTTCATAACTGTTCCCGAGCAGGAGGTTTCAGAGAGCCCCTGTGTCAGATCAAGGGCAATTTCCTGTCACCTGATACACATGTATTAGGGCAGTCTGTTGACACAAGTATCATTTAATACAAAGAAGGATGGAATGATAAGTGATTAATTACATTGTAGGGTGTCACTTTCTGTATCCCAGGCAGTCTGCTAACACTCTTGGAACCCGCCGAAGGCAATGCCAGTCCAGAGCTGCACGTGTGTTTAGGGTGTTCTATTGCTGTCTGGGAGGATTGATTACAGCAATAAAATGATTCGTTGATAGCCCTGACTGAGTTTATTAGCATTTTAGATTACTAATTTACAACTGATATTTGACAGCATATTTTTTTATGAGAGGCTTTGTCCTTGAATTTCTGATTCCCTTGATTTGTATCCATTTCTGTAACATGATTGACTATTTTATATAGTTTAAAAGAATAAAAAACTTAAGTGGAGAAAGAGAGGAAGCAGCAATGAAATGAAACCAAATTACTGAAAATAACTGGATACACCGTAACTTTTAAACTTGACTTGTTATAGAAAAGGAGTTACAGGTTTTAAAGAAACAATGTAACTCAGCTTCTCATTTGAAACATTTTGACTTAATTACATACTCAGTATTTAAGGATTTACTTGCTAGTTTAGGAATTCACTTGCTTTTTATAAATGACTGTAGATAGCAGTTTAGGGCACCCAGTTTTGTTGTTGTTGCTGTAAAGTTGAATTGCTCCCCTGGTGACAGAGAGCCTACTTGGGATACAGGCAGAGCTGCTGAAGGTCAGCCACACCCTCTGAGCAGACACTGGAGGCTGGAGGCTGGGGCTGAGCCTTGCTGTGCTTATTTTCTCCAATCAGAGCCCGTGTTACCGCATAGTCACCTGTTAGCATCTTTCTTCATGTCACCCTGGACTTAGCTTATCCTGCCACCAAAGGAATGCTCAAAATTCATTTGCTAAAGGGGTTCTCCAGGTTTAGCCTGGGCCCAGTGCAGTTGTCTGGCTAGCTATACAATTAACAGATACCGTTTGTTTGGTAGTATATGACCCAACTATAAAGTACCAGCACTACTTTTATTTTTTTGTTTGTTTGTTTTTGAGTCATCTTGTTTTTCTGTTGCAGGAACAAACACTGAGTTTCTGTGGTGTGTTCTGCAGTGGGAGCAGGGCCCAGATCCTGTCTCCAGTGGTCAGTAGCCT